AATGCTGGGGCCAAGCATCACCCCAGGAGAGAGGGTAAAAAAGATGAAACGCCAGTGATCTTGAGCCCATTTTGGACAAAGATACGTCTTTCTCACTGGGCTGGTATATTTATTTACTGGGTACCTTGTCCCTGCCCTTCATCCAAGGCGCTCAGAGTGGTCCCTTTCTTCATTTTTGTCTTCACAGCAACTCGGGTAGGTTATGGTGAGAGATACTGGCTGCCCCCACCCCCTCACCTCAGGCTCTGCCATTGTGCTCCAGCAGCATACATGCGCGGCTCCTTTGTCAGCAAAGTCTTCTCCACAGGTCCAACATTCCATGCAAAAGAATTAATGGACACAATTTGCCCATCCAAATTGGGGGGGGGGAATAGAGTCTACCAGGACACTCCGTGGCTGACCTGAAAGTTGTGATTCTTTTGACAAAATAACGTCAAAGGGAGACTCCAGCAAGACATTGCTGAATTAGAATTTATAGCTTTAATTGTGTTAATTGTAATGTTGCAAGCAGATGGGGGTTGTTTGGAGCTGGTCAGAAGTACACTTTGGGGGTGAATTCTCGCTCCAGTTGTAGGTCCAAAGGCCAGAGTGGAAAATCAGGGTTTGTTTTCTCTCCTGGTTCGAAGGGGAGGGGGAGGGGAGCGTGAGCCCTGAGGGATGTCTCTTGGCTGGCCAAAAAAAACAAATGAAGGGCATTCCAAGGTCCTGGAAATATTTCTGAGCGAAGGATGGGCCAGGCAGAACCATGCTTGGAGGCTATCTTGAGAGCCTCACTGAGCTAGGGTCTGCAGCAGGACCTTGCAGCCAGTTTGGATCTCCCGCCTTCCAGTGGGAAAGATGGAGGTGGGCTTTAGCCCTTTCTGGACCTTGAGTGGTCAAACGGCCACCACCTTTGAACTCAGGTGCTCTCGATGAGCGATCCAAGCCATCGGAGGCGAAGGGAGAAGAGGCTTGCTTCCCTGCGGGGCTGCCTGTGTTTGCAGTGAGGGCAGGAAGGTCATAGGGCAGTGATGGCGAACCTTTTAGAGACCGAGGGCCCAAACTGTGACCCAAAACCCACGTATTTATCGCAAAGTGCCAACACGGCCATTTAACCTAAATACTGAGGTTTTACTTTAGAAAAAACAACTCATACATTGACTTAAGATGATCCAAACAAAGTAAGGAAAGCAATCCTGAATGCTTTCATTGACTTAAAATTATTTGGCAGAGAATTCACACTTCAATGACGGTCTGGGCCTGGCTGGGGCGATGGCACGCGCGCCCACAGAGAGGGCTCTGAGTGCCGCCTCTGGCATCTGTGCCATAGGTTCACCACCACTGTCATAGGGGGTTGTGGCAGAGACTGCCCACTCGTTCGCTCTCTGCTGCCTCTCAGGTCTGTGACTGAAGGCGGCTCAAAAGTCGTCTCCTAGACACAGTGCTGGTGGCAGGGAGGAGCTGCTCTCAGTTGGAGAGGGGGAGGGGAAATGAGCACGTTAGGAGGAGACGCATAACTGCATGCAGCTGGCATTGTGGGTGCGATGCCTTGAAGGCTCATTCCTTGAGCAGTTGCTGTATGACTCCCGCCCCCCGGCCGGCTCGTCTGTATTTCTTTGTGGCTGCCACAACAGCATGCAGTATTTTAAGCGTGGCTGGTATATGGCATTGGGATACTCGCTGTCTGTTCTGAAACCCAACCCTGAACATCTTGAGCACATAATTTGCCCTCTGCCTGCTTCCTGCTTGGGCCCCGAGAGCGCTTCCTTAGGTGTTGTGACCCATTCAGATCACAGGAGACTGTGTGCGAAGGGAGGTGGGGGTCACCGTGTTGGTCTGAAGCAGCAGAGCACAGTTTGAGTTCTGGGTAGAATAAAACTTTGTTGGTCTTAAAGGTGCCACTGGACTCGAGCATTGTTCTGCGAAGTGAGGGTTTTTCAACCGAGAAGGGAGAGGTGTCCGTCAGCCAGGGGTCATTTCCTGCAGGAGCGCACAGGAGCGGAGCTCCGGCAGTAAAGAGCCCAGGGGGCAGGCACGTGCAACAAGCCCCACCCCCTGCTCCCAGCAGCCCTGGGCCACAAGGAGCAAGAAGCAGCCCTCCTTCTTTCCTTCTCATTCTTTCCCTCCTTCTTTCCTTCTCTTTCTTTCTCTCCTTCCTTCCTTTCTGCACAGATCGGTGCATTCCCTCCCCCCAGCTAGCAATCCAAGAGCTCACACACCTCTTTTTCTACGAAATGACCCCTGCCAATTTATTTATTTATTTTATTGCATTTATACCCCGCCCTCCCTGCGAACGGGCCAAGCAGCGGTGGCATCTCAAGAGAGCAAGGGCAAACCCAGTGGGGCACTTGGGTGCCATTCTCTGCCTGTTGCCGTTGTGCCCCCCCCCCCCCCCCACGAGAGCTGCGTTCAGTGTCTTTTCCTTCTGGGAAAGGAAAAAGAGAGAGAAAAAGACCTTCAGGACTACTAGGAAACAGCTGGGTGTTTTTAAGATAATGCTGTAGCTGAATGCCGTTTGAGTTAAGGGGCGATCTGTCTCTCGCAGCGTCACTGTTTGCTGATGCCTCTTCACATCCTTCTGGGGCCTTGTCAGGATGCTCCTAATCCTGCCTCCTTGAGCTCTCTCAGCCTCACCCACCTCACAGGGTGTCTGTTGTGGGGAGGGGAAGGGAAAGGAGATTGTCAGCCGCTCTGAGACTCCAAGTGAAGGGCGGAGTATAAATCCAATCTCTTCTTCTTCTTCTTCTAAAATAATGCTGCAGCTGAATGCCGTTTGAGTTAAGGGGCAATTTGTCTCTAGCAGCAAACATAAGTGCTTTTAACCTGTTTGCTTGCTTGTTTGTCTTCCAGGCTGGAGCAGAGATTTCCACGGTTAACCCAGAGCAGTATTCAAAACGCTTCAACGAATTTATGTCCAATATCCTGACATAGTTATTTCCCCACCCTCGGCAAGGGAGAGGGGAGAGGCTACTTCCGAAACCAAAGGAGGAATGCGGTCCACTCTGCTGGGGGGTTGCTGTTCCCGTGAGGGTGTGAAAACGCTGTGGCAGATGACTCGCTTGTAGCTTCAGGTCTCTGACAGCTCCACTGGACCTTGGTGGGGAATTTGGGGCCTCTCTCTCTTTCTTTCTGTTTGGTTGCTGAGACATCCAAATGTGAACCCGAGGAATTAAGCACTGTTAAGATCAACGCTTTTATTTTGGAAGAGTCTCAGAACAGTCAGACGTCAACTGTGAGTAAATAACAGAAGTTAACGCCACAAACTGTTTGATTCTTCAATTTGGAATTCTGTTCTTCACGGAGAACAAACATCCTTTTTCCCTTCCTTTCTCTAAGAATTGGACAGAAATGGTGTGCCATTTGGAGCTGGAACTGTTACCCTGGTATTGCGAAGCCATTTTAAGTAAATTAAAATGAAAACTTCCCCTCCTGACTTTGGTATGACAGTTTTGTTTGCAACCCTTTGTCATTTCAAAAGAGGTGGGGGGGACGGATGCTGTCCTCTTAACATTTGTTGCAAGTCAAGGCAGGATGTGTGTAACCTCAAGAAGCAGCAGAGGCTCTTGATGAAGATGGTGACACAGAAGAAGAGGTGACTCCAGGCAATGAGAGACTCGGTGGGTGACAAACACACCTTGGATTGGACCAGCTGGGTCACATGGCCTCTGCAGCACAACTCTACGGCTGTTCACTTAAATCATGGGACAGGCGGTCTTGGTTGATCTTCATCCAGTTGCAGGCCCTCGCAGAGGACATCTGGCCCCAGGGGGTGAACTGCTTTCTTAAGCAACATCCTGTGTTGAGTCGGGGTGCTTAAAGTCTGCCCCTGGAGTTTTTGATCATCTGGCAATGGGAGGAGTGCTGTCCTCAGCGCCTTTGGAGATGGGCGGCCCATTGACATAACTGACTCCCCTGTAACCACTAGTACCGACTGCCAAAAGCGTTGGGAGTAATATGCGTCGGATCACCTTTCTTAAACGATTCAAACCACTTTTGTCCTGTTTGGATTGCAACTTTTTTCTTATGTCTTCGGACTGCTTGTGACCCTTGGATTTCATAGCCACGCTTGTCAAACTGCCGCTGAAGATTTTGAATGCTCAGCATCAATTCTGTGTTTTAAATATTATGAGTGGGGCGGGGGAGGGGTTGTGGGTTTCTTCTTTTTTTTTTAAAAAAAAAAGATTGATTTAGCAGTTTTTGAACCGCCACCTTGGAACCAAGCAACTTTGCTTACTCTGCCTTGAAACTGTTTCTCACATCTGCCTTTCTTTTCCAGACGGTGGTTATTGGGATATTTGTGTCCTGTGCTGTAGTACGTGGCACTGTTTTTTGCGTCGTGGATTCTGTCACGTTGAGAGAGTGCGGAATGTGTTTCCCCTCGCTTCTCCTGTTGCGGACACGCCCTCCTTTCCCCACCCCCTTTAAAAAATGTGATTCCACAATTTCAAGGATATCGAAAGGTTTGCAAACTTTAAAAATCATGGCGTATACTGTAAATAGTGTGAGTTTTTTTAAAAAAAAAAAGTTTAAATGAACCCATTCATTAAGAAGAGGATACAAAAGTCCCTTTTCTGTTCCTCTGTGGACTCGAGGCAAACATTTCTTATGCCGGAAGCCCCTGTATTGTGCTGTTCAGGTTGTCTGGCCGACTGTGCCACAAACAAGGTGGGGGGAATGTAAAACTATTTAAAAGGCAGTAAGGGGTGTGTGTGTTGACAGACTCTGCCAGTTTGGGGAGGAACAGTCAGGGGGTCACCTTTCTTCCGCTTGTCTCTTGTTTTAGTCTCTGGTGTGATGACGCTTCCCCTGCTAAGCTTTTTTCATTTATCAGTCAGGATGTAGCTGTCCTTTCTGTAAGTCAGCACTGCTCCTGTCCAGTGGCTCCTTGACACACAACAGACCTGCCGTCAGTCTGCACCGGGAAAGCGGCACATCTGTCCCAGCCCCCAGGCGCAGTCCCTGAGCGGGTCAGTGGCTGCCAGACCCAAGCGGAGCGGCTCCTTCCCGTGGCCAGCCCTGCCCTTCTGCCTCGGGCCTCCTCTCCTCTTCCCCCTCTGCTGTTTTTGCCAATCCAGTGAGCTCTGTGCCCTCCCCGAAGACGCCTCCCATTCTGTTCCGCTCTGCTGTCCCTCCCTCGTTGGGCGCCTCCACCGGTTCCCTCAGACCCACAGTCAGCGTGGGAAGGCCAAGCCCGGGTGCTGCACTTGCTTGTTAGCCCTGACCTCCTCCTCCTCCCTCCCTCTCTCTCAGGCCTCAGGCGGTGAGAAGTCCCTTGGGGTAAGGGCTGCTCTCCTGCAACCCCCCCTCCACTCCAAAGTAACAAATCAGGGACAATGCTGCCTAAATGTGTGCGTCCAGGGGTGCGGGAGGCTGACTTCCAGGGACCCTGTCATGGTCCCAGCGGGGGGCCACCTCCTGCTGCCACCACCCTGAACTTCTGGGCGCCTTCCCGAGCCCCTTCAGTATGCCCCTTCACAAGCCGAGAACAGAGGCGTGATGACCGGGCAGAGAAATTCATTAAGCAAAAGGGTGTATTGATACAAGTAAGTCAAGGTGCTTTAAACAGGGTCTAACAGTGTTCAGAGCTGCGCTGGCTCAAGTGGTTAAGATGCTGAACTGCAGGCTGTGGAAGGTCGGTAGTTCAGCAGTTCGAGACCCGAGTGTGCCGCGTGACGGAGTGGGCTCCCGTCTCTAGTTCTGGCTCCTGCCAACCTAGCAGTTCGAAAGCAAGACATTGCAAGTAGATAAATAGGGACCACTTCGGTGGGAAGGGAACAGCGTTCCGTACACCTCGGCGTCTAGTCATGCTGGCCACATGACCACGGAAACGTCTTCGGACAGCGCTGGCTCTTCGGCTTGGAAACGGAGATGAGCACCGCAACCCTAGAGTTGGACTCGACTGGCTTTCGAGCAAGGGAACCTTTACCTTTACCTTTTAACGGTGCTCAAAGGAAAATAAACAACAAACGAACGCAGCTCGCAACTTCCCTTTACTGTGGCCACTTCCGGCCTCAGTAAACCAGGCCTCCTGCCTGTGCCCACTCTTGTCCCAAGAGAGGGATCTTTCCCTCGCCCCAAACTGTCACAGCTTAGCTCTGTGTGTGACCAGACCGCAGAAAGAAAAGAACCCAGTTAAACTGACAACCAAGTACATCAACGGTCTCTCCAGAGAGTTCCTCGAACCCCATTGGTTGCAGCTAGCCCAAGGCATCATGGGCAATGTAGGCAGCCGGCCTCCTACTCCCAGGCAGGTCTCTTAGGCCTCCCTAGGCCCAGATCTCCAGGCCTCCACAGATCCTAACAGACCCTGTAAAGCACACTTTTCCAGATGGGCCACCCCACTGGGATCCTCGTTCCTGGGCAGCCCGCGCACAGCTGAGCGGCGTATGATAGGGCGGCCCTGGGGGCCCACGCTCTGTCCAGCAGTGCCTTAGGGTAAGCCGGGTTATGGAGAGTGTGGAGCTCCACAGGGCAGCTGCCGGGTGGCTTTCCAGATTTTCCCACCTTGCGCCTGTTGCCATGCTCTCGGCCCCTCCCCTTCACACCCGGGATCATCATCTTGTGCTGCTGGACCTTCCCTCTGAAGCATCATGGACTCTTTATACCTTTTGATTGATTGATCGCTCATCCCGCAGAGCTGCTGGCTCTGAGCGATTTACAGTTACACAAGTTTTCACACGGGACTAACAAGGTTTCATAGGGTAAGGGAGGACAACATATAATTCTTTAAATCGCACACTTTTGCAGCCGACGGGGATTTTTGTTCAGCTGTAGGCTTCAGGCGTGTTCCGGACCGCATTCACTTTTTCGGCGTGGCTAGATGACGTCAGTTCTTCCAGGACTCTTTTGAGTCGTAGTGCCGCACTGCCACCGCCTGCCCGGATTGGCTCATCACAGGCTTCTTAATGCCGAAGAGGTCTTTTTACCTGGCTTCCAAGCTTCCGAGCTGGAACTTCCGTTCGCCGGCTAACACCTCCCCCACCGGGGGGGTTTAGTGTGCCCACCCTCTCTAAGGAGTGGTACCCATTTTATCTACTCACCGAAGCTTTCAAACCACTGGGTGGACGGCGAGCTGGGGACAAGGCTGGTAGCTCACACCAGCGCGGGCTAGAACTGACAGCAGCTCTGTTCAGCTCAGATGTATTAACCAGAGGATAAATCCTCTGCGCCACCGCTCCCCTTGCTGTGTGCCCTTGGCTTGCTTTTCGTTTTGCTTCCATACACAGATTGTTCCATCTCTCTTCCTAAGCACCTACCCGTGTCTTCTCCTGTGCCTTCTCTTCGGCCTTGAACGGTGCGTTTCTCTGCCTCCCCTGACCCCATCGCCTCCTTATCTATCTCAGGCTTCCGTGCCCGAGCCCCGCATCCATCACGTAGCTGACAATCTGCCTGCTCAGGTCTGTGACGCTTCTGTGCCGCTCCCAGTATCGGCGTGGCAGCTCTAAACCTGGCCTGAAGCCGTCCCGTGTGGTCTGCGCGCGCGCCAGATGTCCCTTGTGTCCGACATGGGCAAAGTTGTAGGGCTGATGGATATTGCCGGCCTTCCCTCTTGTCCCATTGGCTTCGGCTGAAAGGTCGACAGCTCTCAATTCGTAGCTCTTGATCCTTTCCTGGATCTTCCCTCTAGCAGGGTTCAGTTAGATTCCTTTTCCTAGTTCTGCCTTCTCTACGCCCCACCCCCTTTTAGTGGAGAAGGTGCTGTGTTGATTTGAAGCCTTGAAACTGCACGGGGGAATCTGAGCAGGACGCGGAGACTTGCAGGAAGCAG